AGGTTAATGTTTCCATGTTGATTTGACCTCAGTTTAGGTATAGATATTTGAAGGCATTCAGTGCATTTTTACTGTTCCATAATAGAATAATTTGTTACTGAAATTGAAGGGGAAAGTGTCCCTAGCAAGCTCTCTTCATGTGTCAAACCTTTGTGCTCCAAATGATGGACAAGAACAAGCCCAAAACTCAGTCATTATCCTGACACAACCTAGAAAGGTTCTTATGAACTTTCCAGGCTGAAGCCCAGTGAATTCAGTCTAAGCTGGAAGTTCTCTGAAAGCACCGAAGACTTTGGGCATTATGTTTGGCAACAAATTCATTTTATAATGAAACACAATTATGTAAACGCTAGTAAATATAAGCTATTCTCTTACTCTTTCCTTACACGGTCTGATCCTCAGATCTCTTACCTGTATTTTATTTCTCTAGTAAACATGATTAGCAAATGCCATTTCAACCAAATGCTTTTTTGTCTGTTAATCCATGCAGACTAAACCCATGAAAAGCTAGATATTTTGATCAAAACTTTTCTATAGGTTTGCAAACAAAGTTTAAAAAAGAAAACAACAATGTGAATTGGACTGGAAAAAAAACAAAGAAACCCAAAAAAATTCTGAGGAACTTTTCTCCTCAGATCCATTAGTTACATGCTTAGAGTTTTATTTCTTATAAATGAGACATTTTCTTGAAAAGAACTCAGATATAAGCAATCCCTTATTCACACTAGCAGGAGCTGGGGAATAAAAAAACCCCACAAAACAAAACGAAGCAGTAGTCAAGCCTCTTTTCTATCATATCCTTTTCTTTCCCCATGTCTAAGGATATCTGTCTCAGTCAAAACAGCCCTACATGAATAAACTCCATGCTCCCTGTATTCCCCAGACAGTGAGAAGAACACAATGAAAACCACTCCAAAATGCTACAGGTGTCTAATTCACCATGATGTGAGCACTCACAGCCTGTGAAGCCTGGTGACTAACAGGAGTCTGTAATTCTCATCCAGAATTAGCACTACAGGTCACGGAAGAGCTCAGGTTTATCAGGATCTGGGAGATCTTGAATGCAAACCACCTGAGGGAAAGCATCTTAACTCTAACTATTCTCTCTCTCACAGGACCACTTCACTACATCTCAGAGCAACATAACCTAAATGTAGAAAAGCCTGCATTGTATTCCCTAGGAGAGCTTTCCCTCGCCCCACCCCTCCCCATACAGGTGTACCTAATCTCAAACACAGCAAACCGTGATTCATTTTAAAGCTTTTTTCTGCCTCTTTGAACCAGAGCTGGAAGTGTAAAGCTTTGCAATCAAGTAGACCTCAAAGGATCAGCAGTGCCCAGGAAGGACAACTGGTCCTAAAGATTAAAAGCCTCTTAATAGAAGAGAAAATATATAAACACAAGACTCAAATGAGATAATTTTCATTGAGCTCTGGACGCCTCTGCCACAGCGTGGTGCTGAGGACTACATGGCGATGAGCTTTGTAGTGCTTCAGACTCACAAAGGATTTTGCCAGTTTACATATTAGAGACAAATAAGGAGCCTTTAAGCTGCAAATAGCCTTAATTTCCCCCTTTATAAAAGGAGCCCTTTCTCCAGCCCAGCTATACTGGGTAGGAACAGATAAGACTACTCATTGGCAGACCTTGGGTATACCATCTTGTGATTGTAACTGCACTGTGATATAAAAATAATATATATATATATACTAAAACCTGCACATTATCGCATGAAACAGTTGATATTAAGGTTCAGCAATGACTTAGCATTTGATTATTTTTTGAGGTCAATATCCAAATACATGGGCTATATTTAACAGCATCAATAAGTAGTTATTTTAATTGCTACAGACAGCATTGCTTCCCCATACCTCTTCTCAGTCTGTATTCATCGCACACTGCTGTTTTACATTGTAAACTCCCTAGGCCAAGGCATTCAGTTGTGTGGGTTTTAGTACCAGGCACCATAGGATCCTTCTCCATGGTTATTTAATGATACAGCACTGCTACTAGTAAATAATTATGTTGTTGCTTTTCATTCCATATCACAGGATTCTTCTCGCACATTCTGAAGATGCTATGCTCTGATGATTGCTGTGAAGGCCAGTATTTAGCAGATACAGTTTTTCAGTTTGCCCACTGCACAATCTATTATTAGAATACAGATTCAGCCCTCATGCCCTTTCACGCATATCAAAGAGAGATATCTCTTTCTACACTGTCAGCAGCATTCCTTTCTGAAAAGGACATGTGAACAGCAACATTAAACTGCCTTGCAAGCACAGGTGTAAAGGGTTTTTTGTGGTGTGTTGTATGTATGGAGAAATGTTATATTACATGATAAAAAGTAGGTATCAAGTGTGAGAAGAAATAGCAAAAACAACACAGAGAGGTAGATGATTGCTATATAGGGCTCCTCCAACTGAACTAGTCTAGTCTAGTCTATTCAAAGCTTAGCTCACTTGCTCCAATCTACTCACCTCTTCTTCTAAGAGTTCTTCTAAGACTAAAGGATCTTCCAAACACAAGGTGTTTCTCCCCGTGTTTAAAGTAAACTCACTGGGTGAAAACCATATCCCTGCTGAGACAATTATTCAGCAAGTCTGCCTGTATAATCACATACCAAGTGAAGGCCTGTTTTGAAATATACTAATTTGGATTCCCAAATTGCAGTAGCTTCCCATTAGAGTTAATTTGCTGGACAGAAATACTGCTTCTCATTCTGGTTTATTTTGCACTATATATATTTTTATTTGCTATACTCCAGCATGGCCCAGCAAATATCTTGACCATGTGCCACTCAGATCAGCCATGCACCTCAACAATTGGCAGGTTTGCCCGGCTTATCTGATGAACAAATATCTTACCTTTCCAAAGGAAGTCGTAATTGCACCTTAGAGGAAATGAAAGTGAAAATTAATGAATGTACAACTGACCTTCTTTACAGGACTTCCCACTCTGTATTAAGCATTTCCCAGAGTTTACTACCAGCTTTACTTAAAAAACAGCTTCCTTTCTGTTTACATGTCATGCCTTTGTGATCCTTTAAGCAATCTAAAATATTTCTATTACATTCTTACCTAAAGAATATGGCATTTGTCTTAGCTTGGGTGTAAGTGTGTGTACTTAAGTCTCCCATTTGGAAATACACATTTATAGTATCACATACCTGTATGCTTGCATCTGTATGTGTTTGTTGTTAGTCTGCAGCAAAGATGGATCAGAAAGTCAGGGGAGCATTAACAAGTTACATGAGGCTGCTAGAAGAATCCAAAGCATTTGAGGGTTGACTGTGTTGCCAGTGGTTCATTTTTTCATAGTCCTCACTGGAAAACAAAATGCTGAATTGGAACAGTCCCATGAAAGGTAGTTTTCTTCTCAGAGCCAAGTCAAAAGGGGATCCTTTCCTAATCAGTTAAGATCAGAACAAAAAAGTCAGCTGCTTAGGTGGGACAACAACAGGTCTGTTGAGATAGTGTGATGGGTATAACTGTGTAGATAATGCTGATGATACATAACTTTGCAGCCATGGTCACTTATTGCCCACCTCTCCTAGCCTGAGAACAAGAATGCAGTTCAAGTGTTATGGATACTCTTTTTTTCCCTTGCTGGGTCTCTCTCTTCTGCAGTCTCCTGCATTCTGGTCCATGCAGAGCCTCCTCTTGCATGTTGAAATGGAATAGTGATACAAACTTTTTCAGTCCAGGAGCATCTGTGGGTTTGGTGCATTTATTTTTCAGTGTGGGTTGGTCATATTTCAGAGATTAAAGGGACTGCTAGCTTTGTCTGTGTAGCTGTGATAAAGGGAGGGACATTAATAGCAGCTTCAGATATGTTTTTAGGTGTCTACTTGGGATTTTGTGAGCATAAACAACTAGGTAAAAAATAAATCAAGAATGTAATTATAAACTCTGATATGTCCTGAAATCAATGCATGCAAAACAGGGCATTTTCCAGAGCTGAAGGGTGTGATACAAGGTAGTCTACTGTTTCAAAGATATTTTATGGCATTGAAGCAACTCTGGGATGATATGAATGAGTAAAGCATCTCTATTTGAGTGAGTGTGCAAGAAGCTTTGATAGGCTTCATGAGTGCAAACATGAAATTAATTCTTGCCAGAGAAAACAAACTGCAGACAGAGCCACTCATGCACCAACTAGTTACAGTTTGCAAGGTTAGCTAAAGTTGATCAAAATCCCAGACAAAAATTGTCATTAAGATCCAGTTAAGGATATAGACAGATACCAATTCCCAGGCAAGAAACTTCATTAAGGTACACTCAAGGTTGTAAACATATGTGAGAACTAAATTCAAACAACAAGATCCAAACACTGTCATCATTTACAGTGTTAAATATTTGGAAATTAAAAGTTACTGCTAGAGATAATATGGATTCTAGAAAATTCATAATCATGTTTCAACAAACTGAACTGCTGCTCTTCATCATTACCTTACCTGCTGTTGCTTGTTGTGGCGCTCCCTGCCATGGGACACTGAAAGCTAAGTCTCCATGGGTTCCAAAAATTCAGCAAAAAGACAGCTCTAGGTACTGGAAACAAAGCTGGCGCTGTTTATTCTGGAGTACCCTGACCCACAAGTCCTGAAGACCTGGAGAATATTCTAAGGAAAATCTCTTTCAACTTGCTTTGTTCTTGTATGTATCCAAAAAGGCCAGATTGGACACTTAGGAAGATGGGCTGTTAAGATGGATGGTCCTTTGGTCTGAAGGAATATTGCTGCCATCACAGCATTCCCTGCAGTCACAGCATAAGAGTAGGTGAGATCTCGTGTATATGGAAACTATGGGATGCAGTGCACTGTCTTAGAGAATAAAAGATGCAAAACAAGTAATTAAATGCAGAAACCTTGCAACTAAATTTCAATTGAAGGGTTTAGAAGGGATGTTCTGCTTCTAAAATGCAGTGTTGGACCCTTGAGATATTATTTAATTAGAGTTTTCATTATAACAGAGTTGTGAACATTGTATTTTCTCTTCCAGCTTCCATAGTGATTGGGAAGTGGTGGTGTGAGATGGAGCCCTGCCTAGAAGGAGAGGAATGTAAGACATTGCCTGATAATTCTGGATGGATGTGTGCAACTGGCAATAAAATCAAGACCACCAGAGTAAGTTGCCTTTCTGTCTATACCCAGGAGGTCTCGGTAGGAAAGGGAGTCACTAAATGATTGCTCTCCCATATCTTTTCATCGTCATGTCTGCTGTAAAAGTCTTAAAGGTCACTGCATACCTCCCCAGTCATCCGACACTTATTATTTAGTGGAAGTTCAGATGCATTCAGGCTGGTCAGCTGGGTCCAGGATTGATAACCAGCAGGTTGGAGCTGCTGAATCGCCAGGTCACTTTCTTACAGATATTGTCACATCTGGATCACATCTCTGAGTGCCTTTCTGATGGCTAAATGGAAGAATATTAGATCAAAGGGATCTGCTGGATCCTACATCCATTCCTTGGCTGTTCCAGGCCACATCTGCAAAAGCAGTTGTACAGGTGCTTTGTAGCATCAAACAAAAGTGCTGAGCACTCAACTCACTGTCTACATTCGAGGTCTTCAGAGCAGCTCTAGCCCTATGCACCTGTTAGTGGCATACCTTTGAGATACTGAAGATTCAGGTAAAACAGGCCAAGTGGTGATGCCGACTTTCACCATGCATTGGTAGGAAAATGCAGAGATACAGCTGCAAAAAGTGTGTGAATGAGCTGGCTACACTTCTCCCACTATGAGATTCCCTTTGGGAAAAGAAGTATGTTTAAAAAATGGATTCCAGTTTTTTTCTTGCATTGTGCAATTATTTCATAACCATTTTTTGTAAAACTGCTACCTATACCTACTGTATTCTACACATTAAATTATTTTCATGCCACAATTAATTTTTTTTTCTAGGAAAATTACACAGTGGTCAACTGAAAATATGTTTTAAGAATTAATAGATTTTGTTTTTCAGTGAAGTGAAAAATAACTCTTGAAACCTGCTAAATTAAAAAAAAAAAAAGTCAAGAAATTTTTCCCTCTTAAAAAGTTCTACATATTCATAACCAGCTACTAATTCACAGGAATGTGAAGCTGGGTGTCATGATTTCCTGACTTCTTCCTTTTTCTACAGTCCTAACTTGAGCAATTTTTCATGTCTTCTAGTCCTTTCGTTGAAAGAGTAGATTCTGCCTCAACTAATCCCCGTGCCATCTGAATTCTTTTCTTTCCCACTGTATGATACAACCTGGGGTGAATGATTTGTATTGCAACCCTAGCTTCTTGAGCAGTGCCTTCTGGCATGGCCGATCTTACCACCACATTTAGTTAGTAGGATACTTACTAATTTAGGAGGTTTTCTTTGTAGAAGGCAGTAAATGCCCCATGAAAACAGGATGTATGTTATCTCTTTGTCATCTCCCAGAGAAAAGGAGAAAGCATGGAGGGCACTGTGATTCCTTGCAGTGTCTTTGTGGCTGCAAACCACTCTATGCTCACAACTGATCTGTCCAAAGTGAAACACCACTACAAGACTGTCCCCGAAAGTACATGCCTTGCAGTGCAATCAGAAAACAAGACCAAAAACCCCCACAAACTTACTGTATGGCCTTTCACTGAGGCAACATCTTTCTCGCTGAATCAGAGAATTAAAATGGGAGAAAGTGACATTAAAGAAGCAATAAGCAACATGAAGTGTGTTATACTTTTGTTAAATTACAATAATTCAGTACTGCTGCAGTCTGTCTGCAAATTATATAATTTAGGAATTGCATTTGCTTTTTTCCTGTGAAATTGTCCTGCTCTTAACTCCCCCAACTCTCATCATATAAACTGGTTTTAGGCGATAGCCTGCATCTAGAAGCAATTGCTAGAAATGTAGCAGCTTCATTAATATGCAGATGTATGGTCCAATCTATTCAGTATGCATCATTGTATTTCATTTAAATTAAATACTTACAGAGTGAGTGCTCATAACTGAAAAAAATATTTCTTCATTTACCCACAGGAGTTATTTTAATTAGCTTGTGAGGGGAGTACCTTATGGTGCTGCTTCCAGTAGAATTTTGCTTTGTTGCTTTAAAATATCATTACAGAACCCAATTGACAAAGGCAACGTGACATGATGTGCTTAGGAACTGTCTCTTGCGTTTTCCAAGCACAAAATCTACTTCATAATCCCTGAAACTTTGCTAGAATCCAAACTGCTGTGTCAAATCTGGCAACATAAATATAAAATAATAGAAGCAATCAGATCCTGAAAAAGGCATTTTTTTTGTCTCTATTTTATCATTTCAGATGGCATCAGAGAAAGGGATTACACTATAATCTGTATTGACCCCAATCCAGGCTGCAAGATTGGGCCATGTGTGTCTAATTTATGTACTTAAGGAAGTTAAGAAAGCAGAAGAAACAAAACAAATTAGTCAACATCCTAGATATATCTGTGGTGATTAGCCAAAAAGCTAGAGCTAGTCACCGTGGGCTGCAAACTGTTTTAATGAAGGCTTTTCCTCACACAAAAGACATGGACATTAAGCAGCTGCTCTTGTCCTGACAGGGAAAATATTCATGTTTATGACTCTCAGGATTAAAATACCTATTAGTATATTCTCCAAGACCCACAGTAAATCACATATAAGCATCTCTGTATGTGTGTGTGTGTATATATATATATATATATGAGAGAATGTATGAATATTCACAATATATGTAATTTTACACTGTAGTGTGTTTCTTCTTGGCTGGTTCTCAGATGTAATGAATAGTGATTAGTATCAGAAGAACATGGACAACAAATCCAGTAAAGGCTTTTTGCCAGCGTATCCTCCTTTTTATACATTTCTTTGTGTGTTTAGTCCTTTAGCATAGCTCACTAATGAAGTTGTTAAAGCCAAAGATATAAAGCTCAGAGCCTCTGTAAATTGATTTGTTTTCTATTGATGGTTAGAGCAGGTGACAAACACTGGAAAGAAATCATTTTGTAATTCAATTTTTGGAGCAGTTTCAATGCTTTTTTCTTTTTTTCCCTTTTTTCTTATAGAACATAAGTTTCAATGCTTTCCTTCAAATTTTGGGGCTCTTGGAGCTGCACTAGGACCCACCTGGAGATCATATCACTACATTTCAGCAACTGGTACCAGGGGAAATTCAAGCATGGTCTCAGTCTGCATGCTTGGAGATAGTGCCCATAAAGGCACTTAAATGCCTGTAAGAACCAGAGCTGCTGAAAACCAGGAAAACATGGCTGTTCATGCATCCCATGTTTTGCTACTTCCCATTTAAGTGAGGGAGTTACTCACAAGCTCTTGATGTTGGATTGGTGTCTGTAAAATATCACTTTTTATGTAATTCATACTAATAACACCTCTAAATTCTTCAACAAGTTGTTTTTCTGCTGATACTAAAGCATTGAGCACCTGGGGGATGGCAGAGCAGGTCAGCTCAGAGCATCTCTCCAGTTTCACAGCCTGTGCCCTCCATTACAGCCCACCCACACCTCCAGTTCCCAGAGTAACACTTGTTTCAGCACACATTTTGCCATCATAGAAATTTTACGACCATTTTAAGGTGCCCCGAGGGACCTCAGCATCACATTTTTTAGCAGCCATTGTTCATCCCATGCTGCAGCAAATAGCAGCTGTGGTGTCCATGACCCGATGGTCCCTTGTCATTCCATACTCCTACACCAACCACAGCAACACCTGAGGCAGTGTACAAACAAGAAATGGAGTATTCATCCCCGAGAGAGTAAACACATCAGGGGCACTCATCAGTGGCAAACCAGGAGAGCAGAACATGGGAACTGGGGTAAGGCAGGAAATGGTAAATAAACCCAGAGTCTTATTTTCTGTTTTTAAGCTGTCCAACTATGTGAATAGGTGAAATGATTTCCAGGTCTTTTAAATTTAGAATGCTGAAGAAATCCCCCTATTTTTGTGATAACAGTCTCTGTAATTAAGAAAGATGTCAGTTCAACGCAGTAGAGCACAAGATGATAGTAAATATCTCTTGCTACAAGACTACATTTCAACACATCACCCAGTGCTTAGCTAATGATTTCTAGCCCTGATTTAGTGCCTGAGCCTGCTCATATTCAAGTCAATTTGAGTTTCATTGCTGACCTAGTTGTCTAGCAAAGAGTTAGACCCCTTGTACCATTCATCTTGTGTATCAGTGCAGGAGAGAAAAAGCCTCTCCTTGGGAGAGGTATTCTTGCTTCTGGTCAGTTTTTCTTATTTCAGCATCCTTAAAAACCGTCTGGGCGGTGGTGTTTCCTCTTCAAGCCATTAGCGTGCTTGCTCAGATCAATTGTGGTGTTAGTCATAAAAAGTGATAGTTTTATGGTCTGTTGTAGGCTGTGTTATCTCACACAAGGTGAGTAGATGAAGTCAGTCAGGCTTTCTGGTCTGTTATATAACTAGTCATTCCCTATCCTACTCTTCTTTGGCTAAGAGTGTTGGTATGGATCCAAATGAAAGATGTATCCATCTACATGTCTTTGTTTAGCAGAAGCTACTAGCATCACTCTGAGAAGGGGAGGGTGGAAGGCTAGGATGAGCATGGCCCCACGCCCAAAGCTGTCGTACACCACCAGCCAAGGTGATCAATGCACTTCCAGCATCTCCCAAGGCACAGGCAGGAGCTCGCTGAGGGTCTGCCTCTTGCACATCCTTAAATCCCTGCAGCCCCAAGAGAAAAGACCCTTCTCCCCCAAATATTGCAATTTAAACTCAGCTATATCACCACAAAGCCTGGGTCTGTCTTTCCTCTCATAACATATTTTATGTACTGATGTTTTTACGCTTTCTTACTGCAGATCCACCCAAGGACCTAACAGAGCGCTGTCTGCAAGGAGACAGTGAAAGCCCTGCTGATTTATGAGGACAAAGTATTGAAAGTTTAAAACCATCTCAGCATTTACAAGCCAAATGGATTTTTTATTTGCACTTTGACTGTTTACCAGACAACGACAGTGGCTTTACTGTGTAAAAGCAAGTATTCGGTGGAAATAATGCCCCTGATTTTTGACAGCTGAAAATAAAAATGAAGAAAATGGTTCCTTTGGTAAAGTTTCCAAAACTGCGAAGTACAAACAACAGTCTAAGTTTGGATCTACAATTTACTTTATACCAGTTAAAGTATATATATAGAAATATATATATATTAATATATGATATTTTGAAATAAAAGCCTCACTCTTCAAGAAATTGAATAGTACCACACTTTGCTGCAGCTGCTGTAAATTTTTTTCTTCTTTTTGTAATGGTCTGGAAGATCCCTACGTGTTTCAGAGAGAAATGTGGCAGTGAAGAGGCAAAGCAAACCTGCTGTGGTACAAGGATGCCTAAGAGCTACACGAATCCTACCGACGTGGCATCCAGAGCTTCCTGTTCCCTTTGGCAGAATGTTGAGGGCATTTGTTGTTCCACTTTGTGTTCTGGAGGCTTTTCCCCTTGTGCAATACTAGCATGCTGGCTTTGCTTCATTAACCATACTTGATTGATATATAACAATGATAATTCTATCCTCTTTCAAGAAAATATTTTTAGAGCTGTTAGATATTCCATGGAGAAGAGATGGACAGCTACTGAGTGAAGTACAGTATGTATTAAAGGTTTACTTGGCAGAGTTTGGTAGACTGTGAGCTCCCTTCTTATTAAAGGTGTACTGTACGTACAATGTCTTCAGACTTTGTATAGCTCATAGAGACTACAGTAAAAAACCAGTAACCAACTCTAAAGCTTTGTGTTGTTGGCTCACTAATTCTTTGAAACAACAACAAAGCTATTTCTTTCCAGACCAACATGGGAGAGGGCTTTTACATATGGTTTGTTTTTTTTATGAGCCCATTTGCAATTGGTGAACAAACATTTCAGGTTGAGCAAATGTCTCTGTGGACACCTCGGATGCTCAGGCACATGCACACACATGCCTGTCTGTGTGCTTTTATCCCACAGCACAGGTGGGAGAAAAACCTAAATTTAAGCTTCCCCTCTTGCAGGTCAGGCTAATTCTCATTGACAGCATCTGCCACCAGCTAAAACATGCATATGGGCAATTCCATGGCACAGCAAACGCACAACAGTTTGCAGTAAGCAAACTGTGTCTAAGACATGTCTTAACTTCAGGAATAGTTTCTTTCAGATTAATTTTAAGCTGTTTCTTGCTAAGGTGAATCAGCTGAGTTGAGATGCTCTTCAGCAAGTATGCGTCCACAGAGACATTGATCTACTCACTGCAAGCAGTTTGAATTCACATTTCTAGCTAAGGTGTTGCTGTTCACCATGCAGCCTGGCTCTTGCATCACTGAAGAAAGATCACATCTGAGGGCTGACATGTGCAAGCCAAGTTCACATTCCCAGTCACTTTTGTGAGCAGTCCAATTAATTTCAGGGGGTTTATTCATGTGGAAAAGTATCCTGCTGTCACGCATAACTCTGCACAACCTACCTTTCAGTATGCCTAATGCTACTGAATCAAAAAGGACTAAGGAACTGTAAAACTTATTCTGTCCAGTACAGTTTAATTTCTTTAATGTTTCCAATTCCCTTTCAGCCTGCTTACCTTGCCTCTCACAGGACCCCTTTGGCCATGCTGATCACTTCTAATCCAGAGCAGAGGAAGTGCTGCATTTCCCAAGCTAGAGTTGGTCAAAATTCTCACGCTAACTTTCTTTCTCCTTCAGGGCAACCACTTCAGCCCCTTATGCTTCAAGAGGCAGAAATTTGTCACTGTAATTACACTGTATATTAAAGCAGCTACATGATGTGTCACGCCATACTCCATGCCAGCTTTCCGCGCTGGTCCTTGGCTGATGCTCACAGTGGGAAAGGTTATGCTATTTCCAAGTACCTCTATTATTTCCCCTTCAAAAAGACATGAGAGTGAAAAGTGGTAAGGGACTAAACTTGGTTTTCTTCTGTGCACAGAAAGACTAAATAGGAGCATGTTATATGTCCTAGCACATAGAGACCAGCCTCACCTGTGGCCCAGCAAGAAGAACATGTATTTTCTGGCCACAGTCACTTGACTAAACCTCAGAAGATGCCTGGACCCTAGTCTATGTTTTAAATATGGTCTGCCATAGCCATGTGTCCTTGGTTCCATCATCTCAATGAGGAGAGGACCACTGCCTGCCTGGTTATCTTCACATAGGTGTGATCCCAAAATGAGATCTCAGACCAGCTCCAGGCTCATCTACCACAACTAAGAGAAACTCCTCCAGAATAAATCCTTAGCAATTCTTCATTTTACTACAACAGCACTTTAAAAAAAACCCTCTAGACCTAGGAAGCCCTTGGTGCACTGGGAGATAGACTCTGCCACCAGGCAGTAAGTTGATTAAAAGCCAGGATATGTATGTTATCATCCATTTAACAGCAGGAACTTAGGCACACAATGTAAATGGCCACTCAAAATCATATTGGAAGATATGGAAAATCGAGCAGAAATTTAACTTTGGTTTCCTTAGTCCAAGCCTACTGATAACCCCACACAGCAAACTAACCCATGGCCTTTTGTGCCTTTTGCAAAGCCTGAGTTATCACCACTGAGAGGTACTTACCCCATAGCATTGTATCTGACATGGTATATCTGTGAGTAGATAACAATGCTTATGGCTGTGCTTATGAAATAAGCCTGTTGAGACTGGGAAATATTAGACTTGCTAAAACATAAGAAGGAAATGTTGTCATTACCACAGCAAAGTTTCTTAGAGATGTTTATGAATTTTTTGTTGCCAGTAGGCAGCCTCAAATATCACCACACCAAATTCAGTAAACATCTGTGTCTCTTTGAAGTTGCTGCAAAATCTGCTCATGAAGTGTGGCACTGAGAAATTACTGGTTTAATTAAAATATTTTAGAGGGGAATTAAGGCCTTTGCAAAAATAATGACTAATAAAACGTGAAGTCAAATGGAGAGCCGGATGCAGCTAATCTTCATTGTTCCAGTGAACCAAATTGAAAACAATAGTAAAAAAACCCAACCAGTTTGAAGTCACAATGATCATGTATTTCAGCGAGATGCACAGTAACACAGTGTGTAGCAGGAAGATGGCAGAGCAGCTTACCTTGGGCAATGAAAACACAATGAATGAATGGAAACACAATGAAACACAGTGAATGAGGGTCCACATCCTTATGAAAAAGGGACAGTCATGCCACTCTGCACAATGTTTAAAAGTATTTACATCCATAGAAGAGACAGGCAAAAGTTCCTGCTTTTTGGCAGAAGTCTAGACAGAGATATGCCAGGGAAAAAAAGAAAAGTAGTTGTAAATGCATCGAAGATCAATTTAGATTTCTGTCAATGTTTCTTCTTCAAATGTGTGAAAAAACAAGTTATGTAAATCTGAAATGTACAAGTTGAAAAAATACTGAAAAAGAAAAAAATAGCTACCATCTGCCTATTGATTCAGAAAATCCAGATTATGTGCTTCTGTCCAAAAATCTCTGGTAATAAAGAGCTCAGTGTGGTATGACTTACTTAACATTGCTACATGCTATATCTGAAGAAAAAAGACACATGGAGTAAGTCCACTCCTATGGCCAACAATTATGAATGGCATGATCTGTACTTAAACATGGCATGCTACACAGAGAAAGGACTCTGAAGGTGATACAGTAACTGATGGGTGATGCTCTTATCTGACCTACTGATTGACAATTAACAGAGTTTGCAGATACTTTCAGTGGTGTATTCTATTTTCACATCATAAAATTATCAGTTATGTTCCTAACTCTCCTCATTTGCCACTTTTCTATTCTGCTGTATGGTCTAAATATAATTATAGATTATAGAGAAGTTGTGGAGATAAACATACCTTGGCTTGGAGAGCACATCCATTTCATCTGAAGGTGGCAGTCTTTGTTTTTTCTTCAGTGGCAGGATGAATGTTGTGGTGTAAAATGAGCTTCTCTTTTATCAATACCTCAGTTGCATTCCAGTAAGCAGGGTTTAGAGCTTGCCTGACAGAGAAATGGGTCATGCTTCTTTGCTTGGTATTCTGGTTTTTTTTGGGTTTTTTTGTCAGAGAAAAATAGAAACACATTCCACAAATAATCTTCCAGGTAGACAGAAGGAGATGTGCGTACAGGGCAGTTGGTTTAAGGCTGTCAACAATTTTTCTAGTTCACTGGTTTGAGTTCAGATCATAGGCCTGACACATGTTTATGGTTTCTTCTCTGAAATGCTCGCACAGTCAAACCACTTAACTTCACAAATATTTGTACTGCACAAAACTGTGCCACTCTGAGGAAAAGACTCTTCTGCTTTGCAGGTAGGAAACGAAGACTCATAAGACTTGAGACCTGCCTAAGGTTATCCTAAACAACTACAGCAGAGCCAGCAATAGAACTGAGGACTCCTGGATTTTAAGTCAGCATTGCAGATGGTTCATCTACAGTTCACATCAGTAAAATCTCACTGACAGCAGACCCCGGTTTTTAGATCAAGTCACAGAGAGCAGAATTAGGGTGCCTGCAGTCAAGTGTGGACAATTGCCTGCAAGAACCAACTGCTCAGAACGTGCTTAGCTCCCTTCAGCTGGGATCTTCAAACCACAAACACATGGAAGACCACCACTACACTTACTCCAACATCTGCTCCCACAGGGACAGTGACACAGTCCTGCCTTAGTCTGGTTTCATGGTTCCTTAAGTATAAGTTGCTTTGAGCTTTTTGGATGAGAAGAGAGATGGAAAGAAAGCACAGAAATGGCTGTTCTTAACTGTGGTGGACTGAGAAACAGATGTAGCCAACAGTCCTTCTTTTGGAGGTTACAATTTCTCAGAGATGCCCATCGGATAGAATGATTTTCATGTAAAAGTTGAACAGAGAAAGCATGCATTCCCCCCCCTCCCCAGGAAGTGCCTGAACCAGCCAACAAGAAGGACAAATTAACTAGCCCTCAAGCGAACAGGATATTAAGCTGCCAAGGCAGAGGATACTACACAGGGTAACTAAGTGAATGGGAAATAAAAAAAAAAATCACTTTATTTTGGACAAATATTCATCTGTGGGAATGCTTGGAGGTCTTTGATAAAACCTTTTGCTGTTGCTTGACAAGTACCTTGAATTCCTGAGTGCAGCTCAGAAATGTGCAGAAGTCTTTCTCACATGACAGGCCTGGGCATGACAGTTTTTCATCCAAGACTCATTGTCAGATTATTTTTGTCTTCTCACCATGTGGCAATATGGTCAAATTTGTATGACCAGAAACAGTATACATGCCTGAGCCTCAAGTTACTAACCCACTTCCCATTGTCTCTCATTTGCTTGCTTTTTCAGATGGCTGTCCTTGATTCTGTTAGAAATGAGGGCTAGAGACCCACCCAGATTTGAGGCAAACTGCCTATAATCTAAAGTATTGCTCAGGGGAATATGCAATTTCTTCCTCACACCTGCCATTCCTCTTCATTTCCTATTTCATTTCATTTTCATTTCATCTCATACACTCTCTTTCACACCACTTAATTATTTTCATCCATCTCTATTCCCCACTACTGCCCCACAGGCAGAGAAAAGCAGCTATGCTGTCAAGACCAAATTCAGGGAGCTGTCCCCCCCAACAGCTGTGATTTATGTGATGATCTTTCTTGTCCTTTTTCCGATGTACTTTGGAAGGTGAGATCCCAACCTCACTACAGCTGCTATGCCAGCAGCTCCTCGTATTTCACTGCCCACAACAGCAATCCACAGCTCAGGGCCACAGGGTCTCTCTCAGGTGTGCCCTAGTGTATAAAGCATATGCTACTGATACTTGATTTGCAGCAGAGGATTTAATTGTCAGCTCCTCACCTTCACTGAACCTGTCCTGTTTGTTGCTTCTACAGTCTTGTATACCTTGACCAGAACCAGGAAGTCAGCACACAGACTGTTGGGAGCTTGCCATTAGTTTATGCCTCTGCAAGAGGACAATTTATCGCTGTTGATTTGATCAGACTTGAAATAGGGAATGAAGAACAGACAAATGGCGGTTAAATGCACAATATGGGATCCAAGCACGGACACATGTTAGGTTCTTTTCTGGGCACTTTTTTCCCCAGTGTTCTTTCAGTTACATTTCTTTTCTGAAAGACTCTACTATCTAGACTTGTAGCGCTTATATGCTATCCCATGTAAAGTGGCCCAGAGTTTTTACAAATCTGGCACCAAGTCCCTAAAGCCCTACTAGTACCTCACAGATGCTGATGTCAGGCAGAGAAACAGTTAGGAAATGCTCCCAGCTGAAGGCAATATGATCTCTCTGTCCTACCTCTGCTTCAGAAAACTCTTCTCAACAATACCATCCCAGCTGTGCATCTAGCAGCAACCTACAGAAAGTACTTCTGACAGGATCACAGTACATCCCTTTCTCTATCACAGAATAAAGCTGTGAAAGAAGGATAACAGGATTTCTTACAGTCAGTGCTATTCAAATAAGGGCAAAATAAGGAAGAGCAGCCTAAAACTTTAAAAATTGTTTAGCATATAATTGTCATTGATTTCTAGTCTATGCTCTCCTCCCTTAATATGCTCCACACATCTACCTGGAGACTGCAGTGATTCCACCTTGAAGCACCTCCTGTAGCTATACCATTCAAAAGCTTTATGCTTGCAATGGAGCCCCAAAAACCAAACAAATACATTAAGTGAATAGACCTCGTCAAGGTATTGCTGCCTCCAGTTTCCCTTTCAGCTGCTGCCCTTATACTCTCAACAGAATTTGACATGAATACCTATGAGAGAATTGTTCTCCAAAAATTGTTGTGAGACATGAAGGTCATCTTATGCCTGAGTAATTGAGGCACTCATCTCTACCAACAGCCAGTTTCTTTCTGTACTCTTCATTAACCCACAGCTGCCCAATTTAAACTGATCTAATTAGGTCCTAACAATTAAAGGCAGTGGTTTGGGTAGACAAAAAATGGGAGTTCATAATAGGTAAAGTCCTTGATCAGGATTATTACTATTTTTCAAATCAAACCCAAAGTTTGCATAACAAAGATTTCTCAGAAGATACAGTCTATTACATAGGGAAACCAGTTGTTCATCACTAATTGGCTCCATCTTTCTCAGACACTTTTTCGCAGACACCTATAATCTGGATTTCTGAGCACTTACAAGCCTAGCATTAAGATAAATGAAAACTGAAGAACTGATCAGAAAGCAAAGATTACCAACCTTAACATTCAATTTATCAAAACCTTGCCATAATTTAACCACAGGCTGCTCTGCTGAAATACAGTCAGTTTCTAACTGCAGATCATGGTTTTCTTCACTGCTCTACAAGGTATAGGTTACACTAAGTGTAGGACAGTACCCATTGTCAAATGCCCAGCACATCTCAGTGATTACTTCCCTTACCTGCCCTGGGACACAGGTGAGCCCATCAAACATAACCAAACATCCACCAGTATATGTCACTATCACCAGATAGTGACTATTCAGTTTCAAGTTTATGCAGTACAGACACAAAATAGACTCATAACAGGAGTAAATTGATACTAAATCCAGTGTCTGGACAGCAGAAGTTCCACATCTCACGGATTATTTACGTATAAAGCAAACATATGCAATGGCCATGTTGATAATTTCCCTAGGATTTAGAGAACTGAGCAACTTCAGTTTTACTGACTTCATGGTTGCTTGATCTCACTACAGTAAACAGCTCCGTATTTTTCCTTTTCATGTTTTATCCTGAAGCAACAGAGCATTACATTAATTGACTTGTCTTATTAATTCAATAAGCTGCTTCCAAGATGAAATGCTTAGCTATGCTTGCTTGTTTTTGGCACTTTTTGGTTGTTGGAAGAAAAGCTTTAAGGCTAGAATTGCTCTGATGTTTTCCACAGTTCACTGAATAATTTTATGCACTACTGAAGATTTGCCACATTTGGAATTACTGCAAACTGCTGCTTTTTCATCATATTATAATT